GGTAAATGTGGACGAAAAAAAAACTCAATGACCAAATGTGTACAAATCGAATAATATGTTACCCTTTTAAGTCATTATCCCCTTAAATACGTTATAGAGATTAGCAATGACAAGAACATCTCTAACTTCTGCCAAGGTAATACACGTTGCATCAGGAATTGTAAGTAACTTTTCGTTCAATGACAATATTCTTTTCTCTGACTTCCACCTTATTAGTCTTCATAGGAACACCTTTACCCCAGTTAATACATTTGCATATGTTGTGTTTCCATTAGTTTTTGTATTATCGCCATCTTTTCTTGTGTTATTGAATTGGTTGTCTTATATTTTATTCTTTGATGGGAATTTATTTATTATTTCTCGTATTGAACCTCACAAATGAAGCAAATAAATGATAGTTTCTCGGCCACACTTCACTTATCCTCTAGGCTATGTCATTCTTTCCTTAACCCTCATGTATCTCATGAAGGCAAATCGTTTACCAATTTTTGTCAAGTTCTTGGCAATATAATAAGAAACGTATACATGTTCCATTAAATTTGAAATGTTAATTAACATTACACATTGGTTTATTATCCATCCATTCCCTTTGTCCACCTCTTTCCCCTATTAGGTATCCCATTGCTTCTTGTATTAAAATACCAAACCCTCCCATGATGAACGACAATCATGTAGCCAATTATCATCCATTCATCACACTAGTACTTTCTTCAACGGTTTAATTGTTCTCTAATTCCTAATCGACATTACAAATTATTTGTAGTGACGATATCTGTACTTTTGGCCTTACCACAATGATAAAATCTTTAATTTATCTAACAAGACAGAAATCTTTTTTATTGCAATTTTCTTCTCAATTTTTCATCTCAAAATACCAATTTTAAAAAAAAAATGGTTTGAATTTACTAATATATTTGGTTCGCATCTACTTTAATAAATGAATTTTTTTTGTCACAATGCATGCTGATTCAATTTGTCAAATGTTATTTTATGATTATTTTGAATTAAATTTTTTTTTTCCAAGTATCATTTTATGAGTTTTTTTTTTCTATTTTATTAAAACAACATAATATTTTAATGTAATAATTATAATAAATATAGTAATAAATGAATATCAATTTCATTAATAAATTTACCTTTTAATTTTAAAATTTTCAAATTAAAACTTATTACTTTTTTTTGTTTATTTATTTAAATTATTTGTTTAAATTTAAAAGATAAAAAACATTTCAATTATAATAATTCATTATTTTTTTATTCTTCTTATAAATTCAAAGTTTTCAAATATTTAGACTTTCATATTTAATTTTTTTTTAAATTAACCTATGTAATACATGGGTCTCTAGTATTCGAATACAACCAACAATGGGTTCGACGAACATATCAAAACATTAATTTGAAACACTACTAGTTTGAAACAAACCAATCCTACCAAAATATAGTTCTCAAAATCTTTTCACATACAAGGATATACAATGTTCCAAAGAAGCATTATTGGTGATGTGGAAGAGTGTGTCAAAGAAAGAAAAATTTTTTAATATGGACTACAAGTTAAAATTGCTTCTATATGAATAAAGGTCCATGAATCCAATAATTTATGTATATTTACACTTCTAGTTTGAAACAAACCAATCCTACCAAAACTTAGTTCTCAAAATCATTGTTCACATACAAGGATATACAAAGTTCCAAAGAAACACTATTAGTGGTGTACAAGAGTTAGTTAAAGAAAGAAAAAGTGTTTGATATGGCCTACAAAAATGCATCTATGAATAAAGGACCATGAATCCCATCATTTATGTGTAGTTTTATACTTTGATTTGTTACAAAAATCACATCTTTTGACTTCTTGTATGCATCAATCAAGTTTTCAACTTGTCGAAAAGATACCCTTTGCCAATCTTGACACAAAAATATGAGCTTTACCTCTTTACTATAAACATACTTTCGAGCATTCATTCACCCAAAAATGTTTTCGACAAGTTGAAAGCTTGATTGATGCATACTCATGGTGCTTTGTATAATGTTCTTTATTCAATAATAAAGTCATTAGATCGATGAGATACGTTCATATGCACACAAAAGTTTAGAGCTTCTCAAGAGCAAAATCATAATACATTATACAAGGTTCTTCATCCAACAATGGAGTCATTCAAGTTTCATAAACACAATTAAGTTGATACAGATTCGATCAACATGATAGCAAGGGAAAAACGGACACATAATTAACTCATCTCCTTAAAAATAATTAGAGACGTAGATTCAACTTTAGCAAACGCTAACCTAGTAATTTCAGGCGGCGGATTTCACCGGCGACAACGAGTGATGGCGGAGCAACCTCTAGTGTAAGGATGAACGGGACCTCTGGCTCTCCAACATTCATGAGTGTAGTATGATCGGCCGGATCGCGGCGGACATGGGACTCTGTTAGCGGAGAGTGCGCCATAGGAAATGTAGTATCCAAACCTCTTCCAGAACAGAGATCTCCGACCGGCGACGGTGGAGCCATCTTCGTCGTTTACGCCATCGATCTCGTCAATTCCGTCGTACATCGACGATGTCGGCCAGTCAAGCTCGTCGGTGATGAGACGTAGCGAGTGCTCCTTCACGGCGTTTGATACATCGGCGCCTGAGGAGTGTACAAGCGCGAGTAACACCAGGCATAGTGCGATTTGCGTGTTAAGAAGAACAGATGGCGCCATAGATGTAGTTTTAGGGGAAATTTGAGTTACAGAGATAAGGAAAATAAGGGATTTGGAGGTTTATGGTGAGTGGGAGTGGAAGTGGGGACGCAGAGTCACATGGCGGGAGTTCGGCGTACAGCTGGAGAATTTAATGAGTGCCTCTGCGACCATGGACATAAAGCCTGAAAACTGTCTCGATAATGGTGAACTATGCATTCTCTCGCTCTATATTGCGGAATATTTTAGTGGTGAAGCCAATCATATGGGCGGTGATTAGTGGTTGATACGGCGGAAGACGGTGGCGATACTTTAATTGATTTTGTAAAGGCACGAATTAATCACGCGCTTTGATTATGGAGCAATAAAAGTGTACTTTGTGATAATTTTTAAAGATAAACGGCTTTTAATCATGAATTTTGTATTGTTTAATAATGAAATAAATTCTTATTTGACTGAACACTTTTTATACTAGAAATATATTTAAATACCCTAAAATTTATTATAATATTTTTTGGAATGTTGATGATATTATTAGGGAGCCTATTAAACATATATGTTTTTATAAATTTTTATGTTATATTTTAGTAGTTGTTATGTTTAATCATTTTGAGATATGCTTACCATCCTATTACCGTTCACAATATTATATAAAAGGGGAAATATGTAAAAGGCTCTTAACAATTCTTTTATTATTTATTTATTTTTTACAACTTAACATTGAACGGTTGTTACTTGTAATTTGGTTCAATTTGCAGGTTACCACAAATAATAGTAAGTTTTGATAATTAAATTGTAGATAAAATATCAATAATGTCTTTTTTGTCAATAGGTTAAAATATAAGTAATTTTTTTCCAATGCATAATAATTTTTAACATCAAGTTTTATCTATTTAAAAATTAAATTATAATATATTTTTGCTAAAACAATCATAACAATTTGATTGATTTTTAATATATGATAATAAATAAATACAAATTATTATTATACTTGTATTTAATAGAACATATAGACCGATTAAAATATAAAAAATATATTGTTATGAAATGTATTCTCAATTTTTGATGGAAGTAAATCAAATTTGATATCAAATATATCCATATATCAAGTATTTGGTTGAAAAATCTTCATATGTGTTAGTGTATTAAAAAAACAATTAAAATGAAGATGATCTGTCATATGAAAGTTTTTTTTAAGTTGCATAAATAGGTTTTTATACAATTATGAAACCACTATTGACATGGGTAATCATTATGAAAATCCAAGAGAGAAAGAAGACCTTATGACGTTTCTTGTTTGGATTTTTTCAAAATCGTAAGCATATTGGTATCAACGTGATATATTGCAATATATATTCTATATAAATTAAGAATATTTATTGCTAAGTTATCTCAAGAATATAGCTTCTATGTCATGCGAATAAGAATGTTTTGCATCTTTTGTATCAATCTAGGGATGAATTAATGCACTGTTTTCAACCAAGTACTTGATATGTGGATGTATATTTCGTATTAAATTTTGATTTAGTTCCATCATGAAAACATGATAAATAAATTTCATAAAGATATATTTTTACATTTTAATCGGTTTTTATATTTTATTAAATAGAAGTATAATTTATTTATTAACATATATTAAAAATCAAACAAATTGTAATGACTATTTAAACAAAAATGGATTATAATTTAGAGGATGTTTCAATAATAATAAAAAGATTTCAATAAGTTAGTATTTGAGTAAATTACATGAGTCGTCCCTCATCCAAGTGTCAAATTACGCGTTTAGTCCCAATTTTTAAAATTTAACTCAGACCGTCCCTTTAATGTTTTTTTCTCACTCGGACCGTCCCTAATGAACATAAAATGACTATTTTACCCTTTCTATTTATTTTTTATTTTACTTATCGTTTTGTTTTCAATTTATTAAAAAAATTAAAGAAATAATCCACTGTCACACCCCCGACCGAAGCGGCGAAATATGTCGGGTTGTGCGACTAAGTTCATGGATCATAGATAAACTGAATATCTTACACAAGTACAATAATAAACATAACAACATTTGTATTCCATTTTTAGGTTTGAATACAGGGTTCTTACAGATAATAGTAATACATGAATTACCATAACAGATAGGCTTAACGGAACAAAAACTAGAAATTTAAATTGCTTGCAATTCATGATTTTTCCCAATGTCTGAATGCTTGAAAATCATTGATTTCCTGATAATACATGTAGTTTGAAAGTCAACACAAATAGCAGTATAATACTTTTAAAAAGTCTAAAAAGTATTTTCTTTGTAAATATAACCATACTCCAAACAGTGTTTATAAATAAGCTTTAAATTCCAAAATGTATCTTTGCATAAGTAAATTCATACTTTAAAATAGTTTTGAAAACAACCAAGTCCATGGTTTGTAGTAAGAGAGAGAGTTTTTAGTTAATGTTTATAGTGAGTCCTATAATCGAGCTATGTGACTGTATCTACTCCCTACGTCGCTTCATTATATGTCGTAGTAAAGATTGTAGACACTTATCAATGGCTTCGATTGATCGGTCGAGGTTGTAGCTAGCAACCACAGGTGGGGATGTCAACCCCATATAGATCTATACATATGTATCTCGCTCCGAAGATTAATAGTTATAGTGTTGTGGGTATGCTAAGTGTTTTAGACTTAGCTAATGAATATAGTCTCACTAAAAATCCCTTAACTAAGGTAGGTGAAAAGCTCTCAGCCCTAACTTATAAGTGGATAAGTTATTAGGTGTAACAGTCCGTTAATATAAAATAAAATAAATAAAAAGGTAAAAAGTTATTAAATGAATTATAGCCCTAAATCCGTAATAATTTATCAGTGTTGGCAATAAGGAGTTAAATGATATAATCTCTGGATCTTTGGGATCTATATTGAAATATTTGGACTTGAATTGTAATGAATTTTGGAAGTTGGGGGCTATTTCGTAATTAGTGGGCTTAGTTTGAAAAAGGTTTTGTGGAGAAGGACCAAAATTGGGAAAAAGGAATTAAGTTTGAATGGGAACACGAGAATTAGACCCGCTGCCTTCCTCCCTTGTTTTCTTTGATACCAAACCCTAACCCTAGGCAGAAGATAGCCGCCATGCGTGACCCTTCAGCCGCCACCACCCGTCTCGCTCGTTTTTTCGATTAGTTAATGACCACCAAGCGACCACCGTTCTCCATCGATACCCTTGTCGCCGATGTGAGCCGTCAACCAGCACATTGTCGCTCCCGTTGTCGGCGACGACGAGGACCAATACTCGATGCCCCTTTTGCTGCTGATGTTATTTTCATTCGCGGTCACCGCTTTCCTTCCACCCTCTTCGTTCCGCCGTCACTCTTAGCCTTTTATCGTCACCTCCCCAGCGGCTGTTCCAGTCCGCTGTCATCCTCCGACCGCTGCTCGCCACCAGGTGAGTGCGTTGTGTTAGTATTTTTCATAGTTGGCGTATGTACTGTTGTTGCTAGTTGTGTATGTCGGGTGTGTGTGATTGCTTGGCAAGAGAACGAGGAAAAACCCACCATGGCAGCCGACCATGGTGGTTGTTGCCTTGATTCTATTTTCTGCCACCACTAGCCACCGTGAGGTGGTGGCTATGTGAGCATATTATTGTATGGGTGTATTTTTTTAAGTAGTTGTTGTAGTAGGAACTGTTTTGTCGGATTCTGACTCGAAAACCACCACCACCGCCGTGAGGAGGTCGTTGCCGCCGTGAACCGTCGTCGACCACCACCGCCCAAGGTGGCAGTGGGTGGCGTCCGGCCTAGTGAAACCCTAATTGACCAAAAAACTTAACTTTGGACCTTGTGGCATGCGCTTGGGTTGGAAACCCTAATTAGGGTTTAAAAAACCATAATTTTTGGAAGACTTTAGTTTGGGATTTGTCGGGACCCGTGTTTGGACCGTTGGATTGGAATTATGATTTATGCCCGACCATATTGTATGATTGACCTATTAGAGTGATGGACTTAATTGATTAAGACCTTAATGGGTTAAGTGTTTTTACTTAACCGTAATCGTCATTTTATGTGAAAACCCTAATCATGTTTGGACCTTGAGTTAGGCCTTTCTTTTGGGCCTAGGTGTTTGGGTCCTTGTTGGGCCATCTAAGAGTAAGTGTATGGACTAGGATTTTTGGATGGGCTTTAGGGTAAGGCCCATGTAAGGGGTTTGGGCCCAATTTGGAAAATTGATCCATAATTGGTCCTATGTTGATTATTTGGTTTTGGTCCTTCAGAGTGTGAGTTTGGGCCTTGGTCTTGGACCAAGCTAGGTTAGGGGTAAAATGGTCTTTTTATCCTAAGTATGGATATATGGTTATGTATTGAAACCCAATTGTTAATTGGGTGTTGTTCTGTTGATGACAGTTCGGAAATCTGTCAGCCAGCAGCCAAGGATCGTCTGTGTGATTCGGCAGTGCGAGGTGAGTCTCTTCATTGTATTTAGCGGGTCGAAGGCACCAATGTCGGCCCATAATATGTTATGCTTAGTATGCTTGTTGTCTACGTGACTCTTGCATGTGTTATGTATTTTATGTTTACCGAGCGGGGCTCGATGCCAGGTAGGGCCTGATGAGTATCTTGTATGCTAGTTATTTGTATATGTTTTTATGATTACCGGGTACGACCCGATGTCGGGCGGGGCCCGGTGACCGGTATGTATGCTATTTATCTCTATGATTTTTGGGATGTGTTGTGTGTTATATGTTTACATGTTTATATGTTACATGTTATATGTTATATGTATACCGGGCGGGGCCTGATGACTTACAGATCTGTATACCGAGCGGGACTTGATGTCGGGCGGGGCGCAATACCGGCCGGGGCCCAATGTCGGACGGGGGCTGAAGCCGGGCGGGGCCCACTATATATTATTGTATGTCTGGTATGTGGTATGTTGGGGAAATTCACTAAGCTTTGTGTTTACAATTTTCAGTTATGTTTCAGGTACTTCGTTTTTCAAGGAAGAGCTTGGGTTGACTGCATGACACACACACTTATTGTT